ACTCAGTTGAAGCCGGAGTCTCGGCTTTTGGTTGTGGGGGCCCGCACCAAGTTTTTAATACTGCTTCAGTATGGCCAAGGTTCCATTGAACCATTGTTCATTTGAGGACTTGCTCGCCATTCCCGGAGCGACGCCGGGGCACATAGGCTATCTGTGGGCACTCCGGGGGCAGTGTGGCGAAGTCACTCAAGAGTTGTTTGAGGAGGTCAAGGACCTCCAAGGGAGTCTGGACTTCCGCCCAAGGGAGGCCGTGGGGGATTTCCCCATACGGCCGGGCGGTTTTCGGCCGTTGTCCGAGACGGGGGATGTTGGCAGTACGCCGGCGGAAACCCCGGGGGAAATCGGGGATGAGGAGCGTGGGGCACCGGTGTATCCCCACGACCGATACCCTCCCCCGCATGGAGCAGAGGAGGCGCGCCCTCGCCCAGCAGCTCGGACCGAGAATAAGGGTGGCGATGCTCAGTTGTGGGGGGAAGGGGATAGCACCCAACCCCGAGAGTTTGGGAACCGCCACAATTCGGGGTGGAGCAATGCCCCGCGTAGGGCCTACCAGGATTTACCGAGTGGGCCTGCTCCCGAGGAACGTGGTTTCTATCGGAGCGGGGGCGGGGAACACTACCGCAGGCCCCACGTGGAGCCACAGCGGAACAGGGAAGAGGTCATTAGCCGACCGCCTGTATACACTCAGGCATGGGAGCGGGACAAGGGTTCATACCAGCCGATGCCCAAGTCTGTGGTATTTGACGGGCGGGGGAATTGGCGGGCGTTTTTCCGCAAATTGAGCGCATTTGCGGATGCCCTCGAATGGGACCACCCGCAGCGTCTAAACCAACTATGCTGGTGTTTGGATGGGTCGGCAAGCGACTTCTTTGACATGACGCAAGAGCGAGACCCGGGGGTAGGGTATTTCGGGATGGTGCGCCATCTAGAGGGCAGATTCGGGTATCGGGAACCTCCCGAAGCCGTCCTGCTCGAGTTTAACACCGCTAAGCAGGGGGCCGATGAACCCCTCTTGGAATGGGCGGACCGGCTTCACCGGTTGGCATCTCGGGCGTTTTCCGAGGTACCTGAGGCATATGTACAGCGGCAGACGGTGCTGCGAATGTGCCAGGGGTGTGTGGACAAGGATGCTGGTTACCAGGCATTAAACCAGCGCCCCTCTACCGTGGAGGAGGCAGTGGAGGCCATCCGCTGGCTCCAACACGCCCACGGGGCTATGTACGGCCGTGGGTCTCGGGCCAACGCGGAAATGCGGAAATCGGATAAAGGCACTAGGGGGCCTGAAATTCGAGAGGTGGAGATCACCCCGCGAACCACGGATGCCCGACTATCCGGACTAGAGCTTCGGATATCTGAGCTAGAAGGCCATGTGTCCGGGTTGGTGAGGAGCCTGGGGAAACTCATGGCAGCTCAAGGTGGAACGCAGGCATCTGTGAAGACCACTCCGTCGGGGAAGAGGAACCTATTCCTTGAAACCCCCGAGGACAATTTTGGCGGCTCGGACGATTAAGTTGTTGTTCAACCCGCCATGTAATAACGCCTGATAAGATATGGATGGGAGAGAACATCCCTATCATTACGAGGGGAGGGGTTAGGACTCGTCACATGGAATTTTAGAATTTTAGAATTTAGAATTTTAGAATTTTAGAATTCAATGTCCCCTCAATTCCGAGCGTGAGGCTCGGGATCATCACTGCGAGGACTTGGAAATCTCCCGAGGCACTTTCCGGGTGTTCGTTTAACATGCCGCCCCTCGATCGTGCCCCAGTGGCGCGTGTTCCAGTTCTTCGTAGGGAGATTGATCCATCGGACCAATGGGCGGGGTATTACCGCCTAGGCCGATTTGATCACCACGAATGGCTGCAGGAAGAGCTCCGCAGTAGGAGGCAGCTAGGCCCGGGTGGTCCCGTGGTAGTGCTGTAGCCGAACCGCCGAACCGAACGGAAGTTCGCCGAACATGGCACTTCCGAACCGAACCGAACCGAACCGAACGCAAAGGCCTGGTTCGGATGTTCGGCAGAATTTTTTTTTTTTTTTTTGCAAGCTAAAAAACTTGTCATTTTGTACCTAATTTTCATGTCATGATTGCTCATTTTATATTTACTTTTTTTTCCGACTTTGTGATTTATGCCTATCCAGTGGTGGGCGCGACTTCACTGGCGCCATTTAAATCCCAAATCCTGACCACGCTACGTCGCGATAGCAAGCTATAAACAAGAATACATGTGCGTGATCAAAACAGATTCAGCTCAAACCCATTCAACAACAAAAATAATATTTTAATTATAAAAATATCGGACAAATTTTACAATTTAAATAATGAAATAAATATATATTACAGTATGGTATTTATTTATTCAGGAAAAATAGGGATTTTATATTTTTCCTATTGAAAATAAAAACTTACAAAAAACAGTTATTGACGAGCCTGAGTCCCTATATTCAAGATGGCAGCTTTCATGACTCTAACATTAGACAACAACCGTATCGGAAAATGTTGGGAAAATATCATTTATTGACAAATTGAAAACATGATTCTTTTAAAATTAAAAATAAAACACGATTCAAGACGGAAATACGAATGTAAGTAATACTTTTCTTCACAAATATTTACGTTTAGAGCAGTTTTTTAATGTGAAATTCGTGCTGGTCGGAAGCACTGTTTTTCAGCAGGAGTGGGCAGAAGTCCTTCGTGCTGGTCGGGCCCAGCCGGCCGGCCCGCCCAGTGCCGACCGCCGTGGCTATAACGCTGCTTGCTATTATATTACCGAACCCCGAACCGAACCAAGTTCGGGTGAAAAATTGCCGAACTCTGCCGAACCGAACCGAACACGAACATAGCGTCTGACTTACAGCACTATCCCGTGGTCTGCCTCAAGGTAGCCTTAGACATTGGGTCGGGCGCACAGGCGCGGAAGGAGTACCCGCATTTATATTTCGGGCGTTCCTCCCGATTTCGGGGTATTTCTCCCCGACCAGCGAGTCGCTTTTAGGGCTGCCCCTACGAATAGACTCCTGGTGTGCATGGAGATAGATTCTCCACACTTTTATCCTTGGTGAGGTAACCGAGGTGATGGCCAACGTATAGTCGGAGTCGGCATACGAGCTCTTGGATTCCACCGACTGTAATGGCCTCCATTTTTATCAGAGCAAGTAGGTAAACTGCATGCTCGGCGGGGTATTCAAGGGGCGATGGAAATGTCCCCTGCTTTTCAGAGTTGGGTGTCGGGTGGCTGACCCCTGCTACCCCGCGCGGGGTGTTACCGTACACCCTGCAGGGGGTGTCACTGACGCCATCAGTGACATCCTCTAGGGAACGGATCCCTGGATGCCGCGCGCAGCGTCATTGAACCCAGGGCGGACCTGGAAGTTTTATATCGGTTATCCTGGGTGAACGGCCATTGGAGTCAGGGGGTATAAATTACATTGATTTAAGGCCCGGTACCTTGCCGGCTTGCAATGCGCCTGGGAGTTTTTCTTTTGGCAAATCTTTATTTTGGTTGGGTTGCCTTGTCCATTTTTATATGAAAAAGGGATAAGGGGACTGGCTACATAATTTTTCACTTTTTCTGTTAATTGTTATGGTTAAGGTTTTTTGGGTTTTTCCCCGTTTTTGATGTTTTACCGAGTTTTTGTTTACGGTAGTTTGGCCTGTGTTTTTTAAATAAACATTTAGGCCTTGGTCACAATCTGTGACGCAAGTGGAATTAGGGGTTAATTAGGGATTAATTGGGTTGGGCTCTCCCTGGGACTACTTTTTGGAAATGGGACTTATTTTTTAAAACGGGGGGGAATGTAGTAGGCCATAAATATAATATGTAAAGCAGAGCAGAGCAGCCAGAGCTAGCAGACGACAGGTGCCGCCCTCACCACTAGAGGGCGGCATTGCACTCTGGAACACGGCTGAGCTAGCTGCACACAGATCCTCTCGTGCCGACAAGTACATAATACGTGTGCGGCGGGAGAATTCTACCTCTTCAGCACTGACAGTAACCAAGTATCAAGCACCTATCCGGACCTGGAGGACGAATTACCCTCAAGGCCAAATTAGGTGAGTGAGTTATGGTTGCTTCTAACAAGTAGGCGTACAGCCTACTTTAATAATGTATATACGCATAATACTGATCTTTATGATTTCTTAACGTGACATAGCTTCTTCTCCCGGAAAATGCTGATTAAAATAATAATGAAAAATAGCAAATAATTGAGGAGTATCATAGGTACCAATTCAATGGATATTTGTATAAAAAAGAGCCCCCGTCAGTAATAAAAGAGCCGAAGGCAAAATGATTATAACGGAAAAAACTGTGCACGAGCTACGAGTTCGTAATGACATGCACAGTTTTTCCGTTATAATCATTTTGCCTTCGGCGTAGACTAGAAAGAATGAGACTCGGCTGCAAGATTTTCTTCATGGATGTCGATCTTGACCCATAATTTCCTAAAAATGGACCATTAAACGGATTATTCCAGTCAAGTTGGTAAGTGAAACCGAAGTAGTTAAGTATTTAGCTAATTTAGGACTTTAAATGCATCGGATACGCATTCGGTAAAATATCAAAATTAGGGATTAAGTTTGGCCAAGTTTTGTGTAACGTTTCTTAGTACAAACGCGCGTCCACTACAGCGTATAGGGCTGTTCTGTCTCTAAAGAGAGAGCCGACCTTACCCAAATCAGAGGCTAACGAACGAAAGAGACAGAAAAATTCGGTCTAGCTAAGCCGCTGCACTATAAATCTCATGCATCAGCCTTTACTTAGAGCGGTGATCGCCGAACAGAACACGTACTGAGCTGTGCCTGCTCTTAAGTATTGAGCACCTGTCGGGCACCCGAGCGAGTCCCTATACCGAATATTGTCCGAATGGTAAGTGTGGTGGCCGAGCAAGGCCAGGCCCGAACTGCAACTGGTCACTCTGGTCTGCCCGTCCTCCCCGAATGACCCTATCATATATCATGCTTAACTTAAGTTCTAGCATTACTAAGATCGTAGTAATCTTACCTTCCTAATGTCTGGAGAGAACAGCAGTTCAGAAACCTCAGATGTGTGTTCAACTTCGTACTCGATACACGTGTACGTGTGTCAATTACACCAGCAAATTGACGAGATATAACACGAAGCATGGCGCGCAGTGGATTGCTTGCATAAAAAAGTATACACATTGCTTTGTTTATGGGCGGGGCTAACGGAGCGCGCGCTAAATTAAAGGCACCATTTATTTTCGCTCACTTTGTTTATTTGTTGAAAGAAATCTAACATACAGAAAACATGGATTGTTTTAATCTAAGAAACTCATAAAATATTAAAGGTGCTTCCCGCCTACCCTATAATTATGACAACCATGGTCTGCAGCAGGGACATATATTGGTTCCGAAATTTGAAAATTTGACCAGTCAACATTTCGTTCCGTTGGGGGGGGGGGGGGGGGGGGGGGGGGTCACCTTCTTATAGGTCACCGATTAGCATTTTTTTAATACAATTTTTTAAAATAAAAATTTTAAAAACGAAGGGGAGGGGGGGGGGGGTTCCTCCAAAACACACACATAAACAAAAATGAAGTACGTGCCTGCATATGCAATAGAATGAGTAAGTTATAGAGAATTCTTAGTATTAATTGCTCTATAATATATTATGTCACCTATGAAGAAGAAAAAAAATAAAATAAAAAAAATCATTTTTTGGTGAATATATGAAGAATAGCAACAGGATTGTTATAGTATTTAAATACAATGTACGAGATAGAGATGTAAATTAGATGATTGTGATTAGGGGAATATCTTGAGATATTGAATAGTTTGGAAAGACAATTAAGAATACATGTGTATTGGGTCATCCAAACATTCACAATCATCTCTCTAGGCCTATGTTAATATCTATATATAGCCCTACATGCATATAAATATTTTGTTGTTGAGCTGTAACAATAAACCAGGATTCGCTAAAATACGTTACAAACCAGACTTTTGACTCATCATTCCAGCCTATATGAAACTTGGTTTTCTAGTCATCCAACTGCCATGTACGATCTTCCTAGGTATCAACTAATCACTAATGATCGACAAAGCAGATCCGGTGGTGGTGTAGCAATGTATATTCCCATTTCATTTGAGTGTCATACAAAAACAGAATTGTACATTATGAATGATTCACTAGAATCTCTATTTGTTGAGATTATAATTCCTGGAGAAAAAAACTTGTTAGTGAGAGTAGTCTATAGGCCACCAAATGGTGATGTGAATGAATTTATTGAAGAATTGTCTAACACTCTTTCAAGCCCATTATCCAGAAATAAAAAAATAATTATTATGGGTGATTTTAATATAAATTTATTAAGTTATGATCACGATAACTCTGTTAATAATTTTGTTGATACTTTAAGTACATTTTCTTTGATTCCTCTGATTAATAAGCCAACTAGAGTAGCAGATAACTCACAAACCTTAATTGACAATATTTTCACCAATTTGCACCCTATTCCCACTGCTGGTATAATAGTGGCCGATATATCGGATCATTTCCCTATATTTGCTAGAACATCTTTAGCATTAAGGAGTTCTTGTACTGAATCCTGTGATAAGTTAACACGGAAATTCACTCAGGGAAATATAACAAAATTTAAGAGAGAATTGGAAACTGTTGAATGGAACGAAGTTTTATGTGAAACAGAAGTTGATAAGTCTTTTGATAAATTCATGGATATAATGGTGTTATCTTATGACAGATGCTTTCCCTTGGTGCAAAGAAGTAAGCAAGAATATAAAAGAGTACCTCGTATGCCATGGGTCACTAAGTCTTTACTCAGGTCAATAAATAAAAAGAATCGTTTGTTTTGTAGATACAAAGCAAAGCAGACTGGTGTAGCCAAGCTTAAGTATACTAACTATAGAAATATATTGACTTCTGCTCTGCGCCAAGCAAAGAAAGACTATTATCAATTTCAATTCCAGTCTACGTGTAATAATGTTAAAGGTACATGGAAAGTTATTCGAAATGTCTTGAAAACCAATCCTAAACTACAGAGTATTACAAAACTCACCTGGAAGGATGGTCTTATAGAAGACAAGAAACTTATGTGTGAAGCATTTAATGAATATTTTTCTAACATTGGTGCTACTCTGTCTAGCTCCATACCTGATATACAGGAAACCTATGGAAATTATTTAACCAGTCCAAATGAAAAGTCTTTATTTTTTGTTCCTGTAGTGAATTCTGAGGTTATAGATGTTGTAAGTGGCTTGAAAAGGAAGAAGAGCCCTGGATACGATGGTATAACTAATGATTTGATAAAAGAAGTAATTTTATTTGTAGTCGTACCTCTCACTCACATTTATAACTTGTCTTTAATGCATGGAATTGTTCCTAAAAAAATTAAAATAGCTAAAGTTGTGCCTATATATAAAAAAGGGAACCCTGTAGAAACTGGTAATTATAGACCAATTTCTCTACTTACTGTCTTCTCCAAGATTTTGGAAAAGCTTGTATATATTAGATTGATAAAGTTTTTGAAGTCGTGTCAAGTTTTCTCAAATTCTCAGTTTGGTTTTCGCGAGAAACACACAACTTCTCATGCTGTTTTATGTCTTTTAGACAAAATATCTTCGGCACTTGATAAACACCTCCATACGGTTGGTATATTTTTGGATTATTCCAAAGCTTTTGATACGGTGAACCATAATATTTTGTTGCACAAGCTCTCTTATTATGGGGTAAGAGGACCTGCACTCGAATGGTTTAGAAGTTATCTTAGTAACAGACAGCAATTTGTGCAGCTCGGCGAAATTTGTTCAGATATGTTACCCGTCACGTGTGGAGTACCTCAAGGTTCCCTTTTGGGTCCCCTGCTTTTTATTTTATATGTAAATGATTTTCCAAAATCCTCAGAGACGTTTTCTTTTTTGCTATTTGCAGACGATACAAGTGTATTCTGTTCTCATAGAAACTTAAATACTCTTTTAGAAACTGTAAATAGAGAGCTTTGTGTATTGACTAAATGGATTCATGCAAATAAACTGTCACTAAACTTATTAAAAACTAAACATATGTTATTCAGTAATAGTGAAACAGTGATACCTGGTAATGTAGTCTTTGATCAGGTAAATATTGAAAAGGTCTCATTTATTAAATTTTTAGGTCTCCACATTGATGATAAATTGACTTGGAAGATGCATACTACTCATTTAAGTAAAGTGCTCTCTAGAAATGTTGGTATGATCAACAAATTGAAGTTTGTATTCCCAAGAAAAGTACTTAGCATGTTGTACTGTTCCTTAATTTTGCCATACTTAAATTATGGTGTGCTAGCCTGGGGTGCCTCAGCCAAATCCTACTTAAATAAAATTCTGCTCATTCAAAAGAGAGCAGTGAGAATTATTTCGGCAGCTGATTGGCGTGCTCACACTGACAAGCTATTTTACGAAAATAAAATGCTGAAGGTAAAAGATATATATTTTCTATATCTGGGATATCTTATGTATCAGTTGGAGAAGGGTGAAGCTCCCATGTCAATAGCATCTATTTTTGTGAAGAATAACCAAATACACAAATACTCTACTAGGCAGGCTGCCTTATACCATGTATCATCAGCTAGAACTCAGCTTAGGATTAATACACTTGCACATACTGGACCAAAGTATTGGAACTCTTTAGACTGTTCTATTAGGCAGTCTGTAAGCTCTTCTGTCTTCAAACGTAAGCTGAAATTTCATCTACTGTACACCTACAGTGAATAGATCTGATTTTTATTAGTATTCAATATAGGTAACTGGAATAGCATTGTCCCCCCCCCCCCCCCCGTGTTGTACATTATCCTCCTTCCCCTATTTCTTTACTTTTCCATTATCTTTATTCTGTTTTCTTTTTTAGTCTACCATATTTTGTAAATTAGTGGTAGATCTGATATTTATTTTATAGTCTGTATAGGTAACTAGATTAGTATTAGTCCCCCTCCCCCTGTAATATAACCTACTTCTTTTAAAAAAAATGTTGTTTCTGTAAAGGTGATCTGTGTTTTAACAAGCTGTGCTTTTTTAACAGACCACCTCTTTTTCCACATTTGTTAAAGTCTTTATAACTGTTTCATTGTTAATGTTTTTATGCTAGTTTACGATGAACTTGTTACTACTGTTACTGAATGAAATGTTTTTTATGCAAGTGGAAAGAAATAAACAAATCTTGAAATCTTGAATATTCATGATATTTTGTGAAGGGGGCCTTAAATTTGGAAAGATAATTAACAAAATCACCTTATGTGGGTATCAACAGTATTAACACATAGTAAGTAAAACGACACCCTCTCTTCTCCTGTCTTCTTCATTTTCCTTTCACACATGACACATGGATAAGTCTTTGATTTTATCTCTCACGTTCCAAGTGCCAGCTTTCACATTTTAGTGCAGCGGCTTAGCAAGAAAATTGTGCACTTTTTGAGAAAAGCATGAAACTTCCAGCATAGTTTGCTTTCACCATAAGATTTATTTTCAGATGTGGAGGGAAGTCAGATTTGACCTCTGATGACCCTGAGAGGTCAAATCCAAAATGGCCGCTTGTCCGCATGGTCTAATGTACAAACACGCTTAACTTTTGAACCAAATACACCAGAAAAACGTTTAAGGTGTCATTTCCAACTAACTTGGGGATGCCAATTCATTTGGTAATACTTTTGAGATCACCTGAACTCAGGGTTTTGCATTTAGGTCAAGGTCAAGGTCAAAATTGACTAAAAATAGCAAGTTTTGAATAGTTACAAAGGTTAAATCTCATTTATTTGTCATTTGTTCTCAAATTTATTTAGGAATGGTTCACCTGCCGAGTCCTCCACCTTAATCCTTTTCAGTTAGTTTATTTCACAGTTTGATGTGACCTCTGATGACCCTGAGAGGTCAAATCCAAAATGGCAGCCAGTCCGCATGGTCTAATGTATAAACGTGAACTTGAACCAAATAATCTAGAAAAACGTTTAAGGTGTCATTTCCAACTAACTTGGGGATGCCAATTCATTACGTAATACTAAGAGATCGCCAGAACAAAGAGCCCCCGTGAGAAGGCTCACGGGGGCTCTTTTATTACTGACGGGGGCTCTTTTTTTATACAAAATTGAATTGGTACCTATGATACTCCTCAATTATTTGCTATTTTTTCATTATCATTTCAATCAGCATTTT